GTGCATAGGCGGACTTAAGTGAGGATAATTGGAAAATTGAGATCCTCCTCCTATAAAAATTCTTTTTAAAATAATCCTTACATTTTGTTAATGGCTTCACTACTATTGTACCGATGACAACTATCCCACTTTCCAACCTTAAATCCATTACTGCATTTTCCTTCATAAATGATTAGCTCTATTCTCTAAATGCATCACTCAACTCAATCCATTTTCTACATTTAATTGAATATGTTTCATCATATCATACCCAGCCACTAAAAATCTTTTTAATAGATAAGAAATGCACATAAATTATCCACAAACTGACCTAGCCACCCTCCAACTTTTTTACAATTCATATACTCCGTGATACCTATAAAATAATGAACATTAAGATGAAGTTGAGTATTCATGTGAAAAATGATTACATCAACCCAGTCGCCTGTATTAATTGAGCATATTCCTTAACTTCATCATTTGATCCGTCTTCACTAAAATTTTATCTAACTATATTATTAAAATTTATTTTCAATTCCATTCAAAATGTTCCAACGATAATATTTTTTACCATTCCTTATTGTTATTATTAAAAGTGTGTGAAGAAATATTCCTGAAACTATCACTAAGCTCAATCCAATTTCCATTTTTGATGGAGCCCATCTGTTCTCTTTCATCATATGATCCACCGCCCCTTGAAAATTTAATCCTTTTTATTTGCGTTCAACAAATGTACCATCCCCTTTAGACAAAATTTTCCATCTTCCTATTTCCTAACAATTTTATACTGACCAGTCAAAGTGACATATGATGGATTATGAAACCAATTGCTCAATTCATCCAAATCCAAATTTTAATTGAATTTTATTCGTCATATAATCCACCTATACTAGAAATGTAGTTTAAAATATTATTTAAATTATTTTAAATGGAGCGTCATTCCTTTCCTTTACATAATATTCCTTTACCAACTTTTTACCTTTTTTTTATTCTCTATCATCAGTAACTTAGGATAGCTTATCAAAACCATCACTCAACTCTGTCCAATTTCTGATCTTGATCGAACCTATTTCTTACATTGCTTCATACGATCCACTCACATTAATATTTAAAAATATAATTTTACATTTCTTCAGTTCTTACATATTTAAAATTACTAATTATTCTTCCCACTTTGTTTCCATTTTTTTCACTTATATGAGCAATTATCGAATCATTCCAAAACTATCACTAACTTCAATTCATTTCCCAACTTTTATTGATACCTGGATCTCTTTAAAGAATTTGGCTCTGATATAATTGGAATTTTCAAAATAACAAGAATAATTTTGTATTTTTCTTTTTTACCATATTTAAAATAAATATCCCATCTCTCTACTTTATTGCCCTTCTTGTATTCACCTTGATAAGTGATTTCTGAATAAATTTAGAAATAAGAACCAAATTAAATACAAAAGCGTTTCTTTTATTCTTACTAATACATTTCTTAATTTTTACAAACAATACTTTAAAGTTCCTTTCCTCTAATCGTTGCATACTCTCCTATTTAATAATCTTTAACTTAACTACTATGGAAATTAAAATACTTCTGGTAATATGGTATTAGTCCTTCAATTAGCCTTATTTTAATTCTTCTTTAGATTATAACATTATTTTTGATAAACTATATTCTACAAGGAAATGCTTGAAAAATAATTATGGTTTCATTCGAAATTATTGAAAGCTTAAAAGAAACGCTCTCAAATTTTGTTACTATTAAGGACAAATCTTAGCGAATACTTTAGCCAAAAAGAAAATTTTTGTCAGATAATATAATCATAGTAAGATAATTCTTAAATTTCCTGTAAAGTAAAGGGAAGATATTATATAAATACACAGTTGGAAGACTATTTTTTTATCTCAACAAAGTGAGAGGAGTTCAATAATTTTTTAGCTATCCTAATTCATTTCCATAAAACATTTTTTGGTTTGAAAAATAAAATTACTCTAATTATAAATATTTTTCCCCAAAGCTTAAGTTTTTGGAAAATCAGATCATTTTTCTGTAATTATGATTTTAGCATCGAGAACCAAGGCTAAATAGATATTTTTCATTTTTCACTAAGTCAAGATAATATAATATAATATTAAATTGCTTATAGGTACTAATATATTTATTAAACTTCTTTGCATACATTTTAATTATTCTTGAACGGTTTTATCATTTCAATTACCCTTATTAATAAATAGTAAATTCATTGAAGAATTATAAAATAAAAGAGATAATTTATCCATCTAAAAAAAGTCCAGATAAGGTTTATTGAAGTGTACAAAAAAGTATGATATTTTTAATACCATACATAATTCATTATCTTTGTTGACAACATACAACCAAACTGAAAATTAAGAAGAAATAAATAGAAAGCAATAGTGTAAATATCAAATATTTAAAACCTCGATCTCATACCAAAACATAAACTAATTCTATTGAATTATCACAAAAAATTTTACAATAAATTATAAAATAAAATATCAATATATCCTTTATACTCAAAATAATAAATCCTAAAGACATATCTTTGTAATTTTAATATAACAGTTTTCATTTATACTCTGACCCAATTTAAGAAATAGTATAAATTGAAGTTCAACTGCAATGATCGGTGATGGTATTTTTGAAAGAGCTCAAACATATTGTTTGATGGCATTAGAATATAAATAATTAATCATAAATTTTGTGATAATGTCAGAGATTGGGCATTCTGAGGGTATTCATCTTGAGCCTTTCCTTTATGTGTAAGTAGAGGGAGAGGCTTATTAAGATCTAGAGAGGTCACAAAGTGATAAAGGGAAAGAGAGTGAAATTTAAAGACAGAGGTTACTCCCCATGAACCGGTCAACCCTACTAGCTCGAAGGTGGATGATGAATTGTGTGTCACTAGTTGGAACATCAATAATTAAAGCTTGTATTAGATCAGGAAGGAGCTCTTGGGAATGAAGTTCCACATTTGGATAATATAGCAAGGAAAGAAAAGTTAGAAAATCTCAGAAGGTGATGGGCTTTTGATGGCACGTCAAAGANAGTCCTTCAATTAGCCTTATTTTAATTCTTCTTTAGATTATAACATTATTTTTGATAAACTATATTCTACAAGGAAATGCTTGAAAAATAATTATGGTTTCATTCGAAATTATTGAAAGCTTAAAAGAAACGCTCTCAAATTTTGTTACTATTAAGGACAAATCTTAGCGAATACTTTAGCCAAAAAGAAAATTTTTGTCAGATAATATAATCATAGTAAGATAATTCTTAAATTTCCTGTAAAGTAAAGGGAAGATATTATATAAATACACAGTTGGAAGACTATTTTTTTATCTCAACAAAGTGAGAGGAGTTCAATAATTTTTTAGCTATCCTAATTCATTTCCATAAAACATTTTTTGGTTTGAAAAATAAAATTACTCTAATTATAAATATTTTTCCCCAAAGCTTAAGTTTTTGGAAAATCAGATCATTTTTCTGTAATTATGATTTTAGCATCGAGAACCAAGGCTAAATAGATATTTTTCATTTTTCACTAAGTCAAGATAATATAATATAATATTAAATTGCTTATAGGTACTAATATATTTATTAAACTTCTTTGCATACATTTTAATTATTCTTGAACGGTTTTATCATTTCAATTACCCTTATTAATAAATAGTAAATTCATTGAAGAATTATAAAATAAAAGAGATAATTTATCCATCTAAAAAAAGTCCAGATAAGGTTTATTGAAGTGTACAAAAAAGTATGATATTTTTAATACCATACATAATTCATTATCTTTGTTGACAACATACAACCAAACTGAAAATTAAGAAGAAATAAATAGAAAGCAATAGTGTAAATATCAAATATTTAAAACCTCGATCTCATACCAAAACATAAACTAATTCTATTGAATTATCACAAAAAATTTTACAATAAATTATAAAATAAAATATCAATATATCCTTTATACTCAAAATAATAAATCCTAAAGACATATCTTTGTAATTTTAATATAACAGTTTTCATTTATACTCTGACCCAATTTAAGAAATAGTATAAATTGAAGTTCAACTGCAATGATCGGTGATGGTATTTTTGAAAGAGCTCAAACATATTGTTTGATGGCATTAGAATATAAATAATTAATCATAAATTTTGTGATAATGTCAGAGATTGGGCATTCTGAGGGTATTCATCTTGAGCCTTTCCTTTATGTGTAAGTAGAGGGAGAGGCTTATTAAGATCTAGAGAGGTCACAAAGTGATAAAGGGAAAGAGAGTGAAATTTAAAGACAGAGGTTACTCCCCATGAACCGGTCAACCCTACTAGCTCGAAGGTGGATGATGAATTGTGTGTCACTAGTTGGAACATCAATAATTAAAGCTTGTATTAGATCAGGAAGGAGCTCTTGGGAATGAAGTTCCACATTTGGATAATATAGCAAGGAAAGAAAAGTTAGAAAATCTCAGAAGGTGATGGGCTTTTGATGGCACGTCAAAGAAAGAAACAACAACTAATTAATGGTTAGTGTCATTCCGTCAATCTAGACAAAGAGGAGGGTAGATTTGGAAACATGGAATTCTTTATGGTGAAAATCTTGATTGGACCTCCATTAACAGAAAATAAAGAAGAATATTGGATCCTTCTAGAAAAATGAAAATTGAGACCACCGATTATCTTTCGAACATAGAGAATCCACTAAGCTTATCAGGAAAAGCAAATCGCCACAATAACATATCATCAGATCAATTTGTTGGAACATATGGTCAGTTAAAAAGGAATGCAGGATTTGCTAAAGGGGAATAAACCTCATATCATCTATTTGTAAGAAATCAGATATAAGGAAATGAAAATTCTCCTGCATATAACTATATCTATAATCTATATGCAAGAGGTATTACAAAAGGCATTCATGTACTGACTTTTAGATATATCTTAATATTTTCAGATTCTGTCAAATGATTAATATGAGTTTATTGCAATTAATTGTAGAAATGAAATTCTAGATTTAGTTGTCTTTACCCTCTATTTTAATAAAAAATAGATATTTATGAAAGCTAAAAACGTGCTATAAATATGGTTTAGAGTCTTTACCTAAAAAAAAAAGACTTCTTAGAGATTTAATATCTGTGTGGACTTTAATTGTAGAAACGTTGAATTTGAGGGGTTCTTTAATTTTATGAATCCGAAGGACAGAATTTTTAAAAGAATAATAAGTGATGATCCAGAATATCATTATTAGATGCTGCTCTTATTGATGGAGGTAAATAGATATATGAGAAAGAAATTGATTTTAGTAGTTTCTCAGATCATGGAAGAATTAAATTTAATTAAAGCTAAAGGAGCTTTAATATATGAAAGAGTTAAACATCGTATATCATAAGGAGAATGCTTTCAATTTAAATAAAGAAGTCGCAATTAATTTTGTGATCTTGCTAATTGGTATTAATATTTAAAATGTAATTTGAGATAGAAATTACTGTTTAAAAGAGAAGAATTTCGCTCCCCAAAAGCTGAAGGAAAAACAACATTGTTAGAGCAGCTGGAATTAATAGCTTAAAATTTTATGAGTAGAAAAATAAATCGCTTATTCAAATATAAAGATGCTTACTTAACTTAGCATAACCCTGATAAGAAAGAGGTAGGAATTTTTAGATGTTCAAAGATGAGAAAGAATAAATCTAAAGTGGTTCAATAGTAGGAAAGCAAGTTTTAGAGTAACTAAACCTTATTTCTTAGAAAGGAGTATTTAATCTAACGATTGGACCAAGTTTATAACCTCTGTCAAAGAATGAAGTGATAGTATTGAGAAGATTATGTTAAATGGCAAGGCTTTAGGATTAGATTGAAATTCAGATGATTTTATTATATTAACTAAAAATTATAGTATCTTATAGGATCTTTGGAATTAGCAAACGTTTAAAGAAAAATGGCTGTTTGGCAAGGCAAGGATAGTGCCTCTCAATAAAAATTATCCGCAAATTCCAAATAGGTAATAGTTCAGACCAATAACGATATTAAGCCCTTTATTGAAAATTCATGGAATTAAGATTATGGGGAAACTTCAAATGTACTTTACAGATAATATGAGGTTCTAGCAGGCTGGCTTTATTAAGGGGAAAGGAACATAGATGAATATAAGTTAATTAATTAATTGTTAACATTAAAGAAAAAAGTAGAGAGTTGATATGGGACATAAATATGAAGCTGAAATTGAGTTCATAAGAGGAATTCAATCTTAAATATTTTTTTTGAAGACCCAATTAACATAGAGGAAAATCTGGTTTAAAATGGTCTTGTTTATGGCCCTCCTCTATCTCTGTTGCTAATTTAATAAATATCTAGATGAATTATTATTAGAATTTTATACTGAAACTGGAATAGCCTTCTGGAGATAGCCTTCTGGAGTTTAGCTTAGGCTGATGATGTTGTTTACTTTGTAGAACATTAATTGACCCAAAAATTGGTAATTACAGATAATGAGAGTTGAGTTTGGCAGGGGGATTGAAAGTTTATTCAGCTAAGTCAGGATATTTTTGTTTAAGAGTATACAATTAAAAGGGAATGTCATTGAAGGTATTCCTATCGTTAGGGGTATAAGTATTTGGGGGTGCCTTACACAACAGAGGATCGACAAGATTTTAGGTTAAAGCCCTCTACAACAAAAGGTATGTTTGTGGAAACTCTTCGTGCAACCTCACATTAGGCACAGCACTAAAGCTTTTTACAAGGCTGGTTTTAAAACTCTTTAAGCTTTACCTGGAATAAATTGCAAGGAAAAGTTTCAAGAAGATACTTGGTATGCCAAAGTGCACTCTTAATGAAAGCTATGGGTGATAGTCATTTTGTGGAATAACACTTGGATATAAAAAATTAAAGATGGATATATTTTGAATATTCAATTTTTCATAGTCTCACAAAGTACATTTCCTCCAATTTCATTTAACACTATAAAAAAGTTCTAGAAATTATAACATCTTCAAATCTTGATTGAAAAGTTTCCAAACAGGAGCATCATTTGAACAAATTCTTTTATTACATTATCGAAATTTAATCAATAAAATGGCAAAAATCATTTTGTTTTCATTCTTTATTTTAGTATAATCATACATTACGATCGATTCAGGATCCTACATCGATCTAAATTATACATTAGGTTTCAACTGTTTGAATAATTACTAAACAACTAGAACAATTACATTTTCAAATACATTTTAGAATATCCCTTAAGTGTTTATGTATTAATACCAATTTGACATTCCGAATTAGTAGACTGAGTATTAATTTTCAATCACCAGTATCACAAATACGAGCATGCTTCTGTTTTTTAAATTTTAGATTTTTAATTTTTTGTGAAATGCACCAAAGCTGCTCAAGTATGGTCTCTCCGACATGAATGGCTAGCGATAGATGATAAAAGAGTTTAAGTGATAAATTGCTTTAATTTGAACCCACCATAAGATAAAGTATTCAATCATTAATTACTTAATGTTGACACTGCAATAATAGGACTCACAAGTATTGCTTATATTGGTTAAATCGACTTTTAGTTGTCTGTAAAATTTGTTTTAATAATCTTAGATTACTTAGATAACAGTAAACAGCATTTCGGTTGCAATCACTAAAGTGACTGGTAAGTTTCAAAATTTGGTACAAATTGGTTACCAAATCCTCTTAGTGTCCTCTAGAGACATCATCAATAATGGACTTGTTACTTTCTAGCCTGATTATACTAGTGCTGCAATGAATTTAGAATAAAATAAGTGGTTAATATTACCAATTTAAGGAATTCAATATAGTTATGCAGGTCAATTAACTTTAAGAATGTAGAAAAACATTGTAGCTTCAACAGTTACGTTTAGTTTTACAAAGTGTAAGATTAAATATTAATATAGGGCAATCTGATAGTCCTCTTTTTAGAATTTAAAGTGTCTGGTTGTCATAATTGTTTGCAGTAAATTAAGCACTTTAATGCAAAACATTAAGAATAAGTTAAAAGTTAGATTATTCATAATGCAACAGGCCATAATTTGAAATCTAAATACTTCAATCAAATTTAATATATGATACAATTGGACAATTTACAACTACCTTCTTTAAACCAATAACAAATATTGATTTCGTTCTGTTAGTAAATTGTATAACTGGAAAGCATGTTGTATCTTAATTTAATAAATGCAATGCTTGTCCAACATAAAAATATTATTAATTTAACCACTATTGTCACTCATAAATTAATTTAATAAGTTATTTTCCTAGGTTCACCTAACTAGATTAGGTTAATTAAGAGTTCACCATAACAATAACGAGTTCAAGCTGCTAAGTTAAGTAGATACTTTATAATTAAATAGAAACAGAATACATTATTTTAAATATCCAAATATAATGAACCAGGAAAATAATAAATTTAACATCATAAAATATTCATTGTATTAAATATTTGAATTATTCAAATCAAAACTCTAATGTTAGTGTTCTCTTAAATTTTGCTTGCCGAAGATCTTTCGGAGATAAATTATGCCCCAATTATTGGTTTTTTTTTTAGAGCTTAAACAAGTATTTAAGCTTAAATCAGAAACAAATATTGAATATAATTATTTTTTAATAATTTTTAAATAAATTGTGTTGTTTTTAGATTTAATCTTTTTAATTATATATATGATTCTATTTAGTTTTACATTATAAATTTAAGTAAAGTATGAGTATAGTTAACTTTCTACGCTTTCTTGAAATGAAAGAAATATGTCAATTCCAACTAATGAACATCATATTAGCTAAATAATTATAAAGTTAATGATTTAGAGAACTTCCTTTTTTCACAAACTACTTATTTTGATTTAATAAGGAGTTAATAATATTAATTGCAAACATTTATTAATGATTAGTGGTATCACTTTTCATATAAAATATTACAGAATCGTAAAATCTACTTATAATAATTTTTCACATTAATATGTTTATTTTGAAATTAGTTTGATATTATTTAATTAATTTATTTTCTGGTAAATACACGAATCAATTAATAATACTAAATTTCAAAAAGCCTTATTCTCAGTTTAAAATGAATATTACACATCATATTTTCAACTCTTGAAATTACTTGGTTGCGTATGCCTCTATTTGGCAGCAAAATGAGATAGATAAAATTATTTGTATCCCCAATTAGACTTTTATTCAGTCCTCTCAAAATCAATAAGTTACATTCAGAATGAATCATAAGAATACTAACTTAGAACAAAACTCAAAAAACTAGATTAGGCTTTCTAAATTAGTAACGATAGAGATAATATTTCAGAATTCATCAAAACTATGAAATTATCTGAATTGGTAAATTAAAATTGTGAATTTAGGAAAATTAATTTAAAATGAATGGATTGCCTAATTACCCTTAATGTTGAAAAATATATTTTCTTAGGAGAAATGAGAGAATCATTTGCTGAATTGCTGAGTTTACATCAAAAATCTTTGTTTTAACAGGAACATATTAAGAATTGATAATGCATGCAGATGAAGGGGTATTGATGTTATAAAGTACAATGTCAGACTAAATTTATTCTAAATGGGCTTAGTATTGGGTATGATAAGTTGGAGATTATAATTGAATGAAGATAATCAAGATTTATATAAGTCACTATTAATGTGAGCTTTTAATTTAAAATTATAAACTCATTAAATCTGAAGTAAATTTAAAGAGGCAATAATGGAAAAATACTTTATTATTGATATAAATGATAATTACTAATAATTTCATTTATAGAAGATCTCATATGATGAATATTTTTTAAATTTATTATCCCAAACTACTAAATATTAGCCATTATTGGTCATCGTTCCATAAATCTCTGTTGTTAAAAACTTTAATGATGCAACAATATTAAATGTATCGTCATTTAATTGTCTAATCAAATAAATATGTTGTTTGTGTCTTAACAATAAAACATTTCTTTCTTTGTTGTTGATTATTGGAAATAATGTACTATCATCACATTCATTATTCTCGATTAAAGTAATAGTTTTGTTTGCATTCTGTTTAAAAACTCCATTGAACAATTCAAATACCAAAATATTATTCATTTTTTTATTTACCCAAAGTAATTGTTTATCATTTATAAAATGGATTTTCTATCCATCTTATAACATTTATTTATATTTAAACTCCAATTTTCCTAATACTCCTTTCTCCCATATAATGAATTCTCCATAACCACTTGATGCCAAGACAGTTTCTGATTAATTAAAACTTAGCGAGTTGACTCTATTGATATGTTAATCTAAGGAGTACAAAAAAGTTAAAACATTCTTACTAAAGCCTACTTTCCAAACAATTATTTTATGATCCATTCCTCCTGATATAAGTTGATCCTCCTATTTATTTAACAAAAAACAGTTAATACTATTATTATGCTATTTGAATGGTTATGACCAATTCCAATCATTTCGATTAGTTTATTACCAACATATGATTTAGCTATTGTTATCACCAGAAATGAAATTATTTGTTTTTTTGCTATGTATTAAACACTTAATGGGATTGCTATGCTCTTTATAAGAATTAGATAATTTAAAGGTTCCTTATTCAAATTTCCAAATTTTAATCTCACAACCATCACTTGAAATCATAATTGATCCATCTTTATTGAAAACAATTGCGCAACACCATGCATCGATTTAGGATTAATAATCAATTAAATTAAATTCAGCTTATTTATACATCATCAATTATTCTCCTAATAACCTCTATTAATTGCAAACTTCAATCACTCCCTATTATGGCTAAAAATAATTTCTTAGTTTACTTAAATCAATTTTTAATCTCTAATATTCTCCGACAATCCATTAATATTTCTAAAATTTTGCAATATCTATTCACATTTTTAACTTTCTTAAAATGAATTAAATAAAGCTAGTTTCTTTTCAATTTTTTTATTCCATGCATTCATATTATCAATTTATGATCTCTGGCAGAATTCTTCGAATTTATTCTTGTTAATTAGATTGTCCAATTCATTATAAAAACTATAAGTAACATTTTATTATCCAATTTATATGATATGTTTAATCCATTCATCTACGTTTCCAATTAATTAATCTAATAATTAAATAACATTAGATCTTAATAAATAAAGATCTTTTTAGAGTTCTTCAATTAATTTGATCCTAATCATGATGAATGTCTCGATATTTTCTTTCTTCTATTTTTGATATTCCTATATATTCTACATGGCTTTTTTAAAACTCAATAACTGAACTTTTGAATCAAAATTTTCTAAGCATTCAGAACATAAAAGTCTTTCATTCCTCTTTAATTTTCCATCACAAACAATCATAAGGACAGGAAGTTTATGTTTCAAAGAGCAGTGAAGGTCCTCTTCTTTTTCTATCATTCGAGATTAAATCATTTTTAATAACTAAATATTAAAATAAGTTAGCTAAATTAATTAAAGCAGAACAAAATATCTCAAATTAAATTCTATTTAGAAAAGATACACTAAATCATCTAGTTAGGTAAACCTTACTGCAAGTGCATTATTAAGATAAGAATCAAAATTTGAATAGGAAAGAATGTATCAATGATAAAGTTAGTTCCTGAGAAAGAATTATTTTTTCTATATCCAAAGATTAGTCTATACGTATAATTTCCAAAGAAGTATCAAAATGTTTAGGAACTTTTCAATATTTTATGTTTTGTCCAAAACACTATATCGTCAGTTGATCAGTTTTGGCTTTCTAAATTCCATATAGATAACACATAAAATTTAATATCATCCATAGTTGAACCAAATACTATTGTAATTTGATACTTTCTAAATTGGTAATTACGGGTTTTAAGTAGAAAATTAAATTTGCTCAAAAGAATAAGGAACCCTATAGTATTATCTGGAACATAAAAAATGGTATCACATAAAATAAGCTCATTAAACATATACTTATTGGCCTTAGTGTAACTAGTATGTTTATTTTGTTGTCTGGTAATCCAGTTGAGCGTTTGGAGGTCTTGGATACGATGTAATGCTAATTTAATCTAAAATACATAAATTTAAATTTTCCACAAAATGTCATAATCTATTTGGATCTTCAGAAATAGTAACAGTAACAATTATACCAATTGTGAGTAACAATTATACCAATTTTGGATAAACTAAAGATCCTTGATATTATTGAAGTTGTTATAGGATATGAATGTATGCCAAAATTTGGGAAGTTACTATTTTATAATATCAATACCGACTTAATAACTAATTTATCAGGATTGATTTCATAAGTTGGCATGGCAGTAGTGTTATTTATTTTATCCAAGATGTATTTATGGCTTTGTTTTAAAAACAAGTATCATAGAATCAGGGCCTGCATCTAAAATTATAAAAGTCGTATCTTTCACAATAGATTGCTTCTTTGGTACATAAACTTAATGCATTGAGGTTTGGGATTAATAAAATATGGACATCAAATCTAAATTAAAATACAATAATTAATTGAAGCATATATATCTCTTTCAATAATTTAACCATCTAAAATGAATAGATATAAAATATACAAAGTAAAAAAATATTTAATTTTTATGTATTATTGCATAAAAGGGAAAAAATTAAGTATTGATAAAAAATTTATAATTATGGAATAAGTCTTTATTAAACAAATTATATATTAACCTTATAGCTTCTTTACATTTTACAAACTTAAAGAAATTTACAATTAATTAATCAAATTCTAAAGTGAGAGAATACAAAAAATTGCAAATAGGCTTATAAATAATTCATATTATTGATAAACCCCAATTCAAAGGAGTCAAGAATAACACTTAGAACAAATGAAAAAATCCCTTAGTTTCTAAATCTAAATATTACATATCTAAGTGCACAATAATCTCTCATTGATGGATAAATTACTTGAACTAAATAGGCTTTACCTCATAACTTATACTGAAAATTTAACCTATATAATCTAATTCATTAAGGAAAAGCAATTCTTCATTTCTATATTCATTAAAATAATTAACTTTTATTTCAAAGAGGGATTAATAGTGAACAATTATGCCCCCATTCTATTTACAATTTATTAATTTTTATTTGTTTAGATCAATAGTTAAATGTCTGTTTGTAGAATCTACACTTAAATAACCTGAACCTCCTCTCTCTATTAGGTTACTATAAACAGAATCTATGTTTATGTACTTTAATTTGATAACCAAGCTTTGAGTTTAATTATGAAAATAGAAATGGTAAAAGGAATCATTTCTTAAAAACTTTATCTATAAAACTAAAATTAGAAGTTAGGATATAAATTCCCTAATTTAATATTGTAAAGTCTGATAAAATTATTGAGTTCATTTCTTTTTTGATTATATGAATCTTAATATAATTGTTACCATAAAGTTTATGATAAAACTGAAGAATTCATTCATATTAAATAAGAAATTTCAACCAAAGTATCAGCAAGAGAAAAAAATGGATTAGTTAAACTATTTTGGCATTTTGATAACAATTTATATGATGAATTTACACAAAACTGTTTAATGAACATACATGTAATAAATTAGTTTAAGAGTCAAGTGATTCATCAATTTATTA